TACTGCTTCTCCAGATCAGGTATATTCCTCCCTTTTACTTTTTGGTTCAAATCTGGTTCGATTATGGTTCAAGTAAGATCCTTGAATATGGTATTCTAAATTTAGGGAATATGATTCCCAGTTGAAAGAAGGTAAAAAAATTTTTTGAAATTCGCCCTCCCATTCCGCAACCTTATTGGCGTCCATTAGATGGATCCTACCATTCTTTCAATAACAAGATGTTATATATTGCAATAAACGAGAGGGATATATAAAAAAAGGAGTGCCCAATACAAAAAATCAAGGCACTCTAGTGCTGCTATAAATATCTGTTCTATTCACACCATTTTTTTGCCAATAAATCAGCAAGACCATTGAGCTCCCTAGGAATCCAATTAAAGGAGGCTTGCAGAGTGGAGGAGAGGGTCTCTAGCCTCTATGAGGTAATGGTCCAACCTCCAAGACCCACCATGGTATTACTTCAACCAGCTGATAGTAATTGCGGAGTCCCCTTGAACTAGTAAGTAACAAAGTGAAGCCAAGTTGATTTGCCAATCGTAACCCAGTTAGAGCGGCAAGCACTTCAGCTTTAGTAGAGTTTGTTTCCCCAATAGGGCCACTGAACACCCATAGAATTTCGCCTCTGTTAGACTTGAAAACACCATAATGCCTGCAGGGCCAGGGTTGACGATTGCACCTGTGACCTTGGGGGCTAGTATGTATCTTCTTAGCATCCAGTCATTCAAATCAATACAATTTCTGTTAGCAATCAGAAGAGTGTTAAAATGTTGATGGGAGGTTATCACAAGAAAAAACAACTTTCAGAGTGAAGTCATGGGGCTGCAAGTTGGGCAGGTTTGGAGTGAACATTTCTTAAAATTTGAATGGGCCTGGACCAAGGGCCTGGGACCAATGCTGTGTAAATTCTTCAGGCTGGGTACCTGACTTGCATCCATAAAGTCATATTAATAGTTAAGAGACAGACTTCAGAAATCTGGTTCCTGGGTCTGACAATAGTAAGCAAGATCTTTTCCCATTGATTGCATAAGGTTTTTCAGCTAGATCCTAGTTAGTATAGCACTGTTCTTAGCCATTGCCAGTAGGAAGCTATGAAAAAAATAACAGTCATATACAGAAAATTTGAGTACTTTCACTACTTAGTTATCCAAATGCATTGTATAACTAGATGCTGCAATGGTAAGTGAATGATATCATAAACAGAACTTGGTGCTTAACCACCAGAATCAATGAGTCCCAGTTCAGTTTTTGTTCCACCATCCCAGGTCCTAGTCAACGAACAATTTAGTGCCCATGAGGAGGCCACGGCCTTGTAATTGAAAGGATTAGGTAGAGAAGGTTAATAAAGGGCAGCACAGTGCACGGGGCTCCCACCAATGCAGGGTCTGGGGAAAGACAGATATACACAGTCCTACCCCTACATATAGAGAGGTTGTTTCCAAGATTTGAACCTTGGTCACCCAGGTCGCAATGGAGTAACCCAATCATCGCAATGGAAGATCATACTTTGATGGATGACAGACTCATGGTGTGCCACAGGGCAATATCAGAATCTGTTAGAGGTTTGTGCTTCAGCTTTCAGCATCCAGGATGAACATCTCATTCCACTGGATGCTAAGATCAATGAATAATTTGGCTGGCACCTTGCCAAAAGAGATAGGATAAGTGCTTGGTGCAATGGTAGAACCTCAGATTGACAAGCTAGAGAACAAATATTCAAGTTTGAGAGCAGACACTTCATGCAAAAGTTCTGGAGATTAGGTCAACACCAAATCCATCCCTCCCAAGGCTCCTTTTTTTTTTCTCTTTTGAGAAGTATATTCCATCCCTCCCAGTCAATGACTATACAAACAGTAATATGTCACTATATTCTCCAAGGTATATATACTAAATACAAAAAAAAAGTTATTCTGCAGAAATGTTAATTGCTTTAGCCCAAGAGAAGATCTTTCCTCTAATGTTTGAGAGATCTTGTTTTCTTAAGATCTCATCTGTTTGAGAGATCCTGTAAAGTTATTCTTATGATCTCATCTGTTTGAGAATTGAGAGATCTTGTTTTCAAAAACTCTACTGTTTCTCCCTCCGGCTCTTGACAGATGGAACCAGAATTAGGCAATGACATTCCTTTATGGTTGTTCTCATTCTGGATTTAGCCGGTATCCCGGGCAATTTCTTTTCCTCTTCACAGTAGACATTTCTTCTGTTATCAATCCAAAACTAAAATAAAACAATGAAACACAAGTTTATGGATCTATAATAAATAAGTAAAAGACAGGTTACCTTGAAGATGCAAGCTTGGGGTTTTATGTCATTCAGACCCCCATCCCTATCTACTACATTAAATGTAATCATAATAGGAACTTTTGCAGCTGACTGCAGGGGAATTCCACTATCCACCTGAATGCCTCGGACAAGTTTGCTAGGAGCAGTAGGTAGGTAAAGGTCTTCTCCCTCCATTTCAATTTTTTCCAGTTCCCTGTTATAGAAAACGATCATCTGAGTTGACAAACGAAATACCTTTATAAGTAAAACTTTAAAATTATTCGAAGCAAATTGTACCTCCGGATACCAGCTCTCCTTTCTTCCTTTGGAACTGGAAAGAGTCTACCAGAAATAGATGTAACTTTGTCAAAGAAATCAAATTCTCTTTGAAACAAATCGCAAGCCTTTGGAGTGAAATTCTCGATTATTCGTTGCCTAACAACAGGTAGTAGTGCTTGGAATGCATTGTTCTGAAGTAACAGAAAGTATGTATAAGCAAGGATTGGATATACATCTCTGAATTCAGTCTACAATTTAATGGAAACTACAGGTTCAAGTCAAGTACCAAATGGATACCAGATTTAGGAACCAATCTCAAGACAGACATTATAACAGTACTAAGCCACAGAGTGTAACACTACATGGTGTAATAAGATCCTCTAGATGATGAGCTTCATTTTAATTGTAACCTTTTTTTGACAAGTAAAATAACTTTTGTTAATCAATAAATAGACAACAATACAAGCATCCTTTAAAGAGGCATAAGGCGCTAGCTCTCCCAACAAACAGAAAGCTACATATTATATTTGAGCCCAGTACAAGTAATTTCTATTCACCCCCTGCTTAGTTAAATATCCACCACCCCGTTTGCTGATCTCCTCACCTACTATATCCTCAAGTTCATACTTCTAGTAAGCCATTTGAACATTTTTTATCTCATCCCTAAAGTCCTAAATTATAGAGTCTGGTTTCTTCAACCATCCCACCACCAGTTTTGAAGCACCTTCAATCACCACATTTAGCATATTCTATTCATTTGCTATTTTAACTCCTTGTAGTATGGCCAGTAATTCAGCTCTAGCCAAGTCACCCAAACCCCCTGGGTCTGAGAACAAAGCAACAACATATCTCTCAATGTTTCTCAATACCCTCCTATCTGGGGGCGGAGCCAAAATTTTTTCTTGGGGGGCCAACAGGTAATGAACATGGATGGGTAATTGGGGGACCAGGGTATAAGTAGGATATAAATGGGGACTTTTAAGGCATGGGGGGAGGG